AAATTCAAGTTTTTGTCATGTCATGAAGTGTAGGTGTAAATTTTTCTGGGACCCTCATTTACTTGGCTTTTATTTACCTAAGACATTAATATGTTTTTCTTCACAAAGCACACACATTGCACATTGTTTAATCCGAGATAAGCATAGGTAAAATACAGAAAAGCTCCAAAAATCTGAGCCCACAAGCAGCCAAAAAAATCAGATCAACCAGAATAGGTAGCAGCATGAAGATAAGCTCTATCGAGCATATAATGAGGGACTCCCGCTATACTGTAAGACCAGAGCAGTTGAGTATACCAACCTGATGCAATAACATCTTAAATGTATTAAAAGAGCAATTTTTACAAATGCGTTTGCAGACCTGAAGTGAAACCAACACTTATTAGATGTTCTGTAGCAGGTCCCTTAATAGGAAATTAGCCTGGTCACCATTGTCAGCAGTCAGGGGCGGACTGACCATTTGGGCACTGCCCGAGGGCCCGGGGTCAGTAGGAGACCCCATGAGATGCCCAATATCTTTCATAGGCTTTTTTGGGTGTGATTTGAGTGTGGGCAAGGACACAGGGCCCCCGTGATTTCCTATTTCCCAGGGACCCCATGAGCTGTCAGTCCGCCCCTGTCAGCAGTATGGTCTTACTTAACCACTTTTTTCCAGGATGCATCTCTTATGCCCTGCTCCTCTTCACCTGATGTCACTATTACCAGCAAATATCAACTGTCAAAATGAGAGTCTAAGTATTAACTAGCAGAATTGGCTATCAAAATGCAGTGGTTCCCATGTAAACTGTAAGACATGCAGATGGTCTGTAAGTGTCTGTGAGTATAAGTCCTTATGCACACTGGATGTTTTTACAGTGGCTGTTTTTGGCTTTTGCCATTTTTTTCTACAGGCTGTAAACTCCCCAGCATGTTATCCTATGTGTCCATGCACACAGACTGTAATCAGTGTTTTTTTGCAGGGGTCATTTTTGGCTGTCAAAAACCCACAGAACTAGTGGGTTTCTAGAGGAGTTTTTTAGCTGTAAAAACACTTTAACGCTGAAAACGCGGTAAAACGTGGTAAAACGCAGCAAACTAGTGTTTTTGGAAGTTTTTTTAAGCAAAAAAAATGTATTTTGTAAAAAAAATGCTAAAAACCGCTAACGCAAAAAAAAAAAATGGCAAAACGCAGCTAAATGCTAATGCAAAAATGCAAAAAAAATGCTGAAAAACGCACGTTTTTAACGTGACTTTACACAGCTATTGTTACCAGCCTGTGTGCATAGAGCCTTAGGCTCCATGTACACGAGCCTACCCTGACCACCGTCCGCAAATCGCGGCCTAACTACGGCAAAATACGCCAACTGCGGTACCGCAATTTTGCCGCAGTTTTGCCGCGGTTTGCGTTTTCTTGCGTTCAGGGGTCAAAACGTTCCTATCCTGGAAGTGATTCTTCCGCGTTCAGGAGAGGGAGGTTTAACCTCACCTAAATGCGGCAGCTCCTAAACTCTGCTAATAGCCTATGCGTACATGGACACATAGATTTTTATGGAGTTGAGTTTAGGAGCTTTGGCAAAAAAATGCCAAAAGCTCCTAAACTTGAGTTTAGGAGCTGCTTGTGTGCATGGAGCCCAACAGTATAACAAAGTATTTTACATTGCATTTATTATTTCCTTCATGTGAGTATCAAAGGTGTGACCTTTGATCTGCATATGACATTCAGTGAAGAAACGTTAACAAAAAAATCTGAATAAAATTTCTTTCAACTTCACCTAATTTTAATACTTAGCTAACCCTAATTAGACCCAATTAACTTCTTCCACTCCTTTTCCCCTTAAGTATAGTTTTCCTTATTTTTTTTTTTTTTTTACCATTAATATTTAATTCTGTTATTTTCTTTTGTCTTGTTGGTTATTTTTGTAAGTGTCACATGCACAAATGCACAAAATAACATAAAAGCCTTTCTTTCATTTTCAAATAACTTTGCCATGCTTCACACCAGAAACATCCTTTATTGTCCTTTATTAAATGGGACAAATTATAGAAGAAAATGTATGCATATTGAGTTCAACTACTATTTTAATTATTTCTCTTCCGGGCCCTGTCTCCCATTTTTCACCTCAAGTGGCCAGACCATTTTTGCCATATTTCTATCTTCATTTTTTTGTTGTCCACTATTTTTCACTTACAGCTTTGAAAGTTAGTAAAATACACCCCAAATGATATATTTTCTAAAAAGACAGGGCCTGTACAATTAAAAGTTGGTATTACATTTTTACATATTCTGATAGTTGCATTAATGTTTATCAAAACTACTGTATATTTTTAATTGAAAATAAAATATAAATTGTTATTAGTACAAACAAATATAACATAATTTAAATGTGTGAAAAGATGAAATTCAAAGGAATGCAAAACCAGATTTTGCAACTTAAAGTATTCGTAGAGCCAAAAAGAGTTTTTCCTTTACATGCACTTAAACCAGGTACTACCAGCGGTATGCATATATGTGGTGACAGGTGGTAGGCTTTATGCAAAAATGTTCTGTGTTGGGAATTTGCCCTTTGGCCACTTTGGCCATTTTGCCAATTAATAGCCTTGTACCCCTGCTTCCATGTATCCACTGCTTAAACATAAAAACTCCTTACTAATATGTTCTAGTATGGTACATTTTACATGTGCACTCTCTATACTTTGTTATATATTTGTTTAGCTACTAGGCTTTTTTATTCCCTTAAATCGCTCAGTACCAAAGGCAAAAGCAATCTGTGTTTAATTGCTGTTCTCTGTACTCCTTTGTATTTAATTTTTGTACAGTTATGTATATTAGATTTTTGTTCTGACATTTTTTTAATTCCCATGGGAAATCTCTGAAACAGGAACACACACAAAAACACATTTTTAGGAGAGTGAGGACCAGAAGTTAAATCACAGAGGCCAAAAGTTAAAATCTTCCCAATGGGATCACAAACAAGAATAAAAAAAATAAAATAAATTGTCTGGCTTTATTGTTTAAATAAATTAGTAATGTATTCCTGAAACGTACAGTGCTCAGTGGGCCCCCCCAAAATGAGCCTTTGGAAGCATCCTTAGTGTGACGTCACTGTCCTAATGGAAAATACTAATTTCTTTTCAGATCACTGATGTCATAAGGGGTGAGGATTCTTGCCCTATAAACCCCAGTGGCCTTAACATAAACACTTTCTAATAGAAAAAATGGAGTCTGCTAGTGGTGACCTCCTTCTGAAAATTCTAGGTGTGTGGCCTTAATACTTTTGAACAAATATACAGTACATATAAGTACATTCCGTATGAGGACAGTTGTCCTGGGTTAGTGATTGAAAGTACTGGAGTAAGAATGTCAGTATTTCAACTGAAAACTAGCATTTGCAGAGTAAGAAGTTAAGCAATGACAGCCTACATGTATCTATCAGGAATTCCTAATAGATCACCCAGATGATGAGATCTCACTTCCAGGGGAGCACAGGCTTCCTTTTGGTGGTATAGGGGCTTTCACATTCTATTTACTTTGATCCTCAAGAGTGAATTTTAATTAAAAATTATCGATAAGTGTAAACACTAGGAGTGTTGTGTTTGTATTTATAAACTTTCCTAGTGATAGACTGTCTAAAGATTCAGAAGCAACATTGTTGGCCCATCAGCAAGACAAGCAGCAGGTCTTTATATGTTTATTTAATCCAAATAAAGTTGTTTTAGTATTGAAATGGGCATAAAATAACAATATCAAAACTGGCAAAGACATGCACCTATGTTGTACATATTCAGTGAAAGGAATAGATAGTACAAGGTTACCCAATAACGTATACACGTAAGGAATGCATTAACTAGACAACTGGCAAGTTATCAAATTGCTGAAGAAACATGAAAGGAGAGATGCTATCACAGACTATTTTCAGGAATAAGTGCAAGATAATACAGCAAAGCCAATATAATTAGAATATGGTCGGTAATACTGTTTTGAAATAACTAAAAAAAAAATACTTTGTTGGCCAAACACCTCCTATGGGTCACAGGAGTGCTGTCAGCTCACGTTACAGATAATATTGTCTCGATCCACCCAGATGCTTGGTGGCAGCTGGCTCAGCTTCTCAGCACACTGCTGAGAGCCTCATCCAGCTGCTCCCACCCTCTTCCCAGCCTACCTATCCAGTAAGCACTGGAGGGGCACAGCACAGAGCAGTGGCTGATAGTCTCTGCTCTGTGCACAGAGAAGACCCGAGATCTGAGTGATCAATAGTCTTTGGCCACACGGTTGTCGGTGTAGTGCCAGATGGGGACAGCTGCAGCTTGGACTGGTGCTGCAGCAATCTAGGTGGGAATGATTGTTTATTTTTTTAATATCTTGCACTTCTCTTTCAATTCATAATGTTTTCTAATCACACAGAAATAACATTAATTTGCTTGTGTAGACATAACACTTAATAGTCTATTTATAAATGGTTTCACACAAACCGTTTTACACACTTTTACTCAGGATTCACACAATCCAATTAGAAAAGTGGGTGAATCTTGTGTGGAAGATGTGTGAATTTCTTGTGAATCATTTATAAATAGACCCTTTGCTGATAAACACACTTATTCCCAAAAAGTGGACTTCATCCTGGAATAGGCCAATTCATGCAGGCAGAAATTCATAAATGTATAGTGGGTTGTGCAAAAAGGTTCACCTTTGCAGTGTATGGATATTTTTGCCTGTCTCCCATCTTTTTGCTACCATTAATCAGTAGGAGTTATAAAAAACATATTAGCCACTTGCCTACAGGACACTTATACCCCCTTCCTGCCCAGGCCAATTTTCAGCTTTCAGCACTGTCACACTTTGAATGACAGTTGCGCGGTCATGCAACACTGCACCCATATGAAATTTATATTATTTTTTTGAGACAGATAGAGATTTTCTTTTGGTGGTATTTATTCACCCATGGGGTTTTTATTTTTTGCTAAACAAATCAAAAACATCAAAAATGTAGAAAAAAAAACTTTTTTCTCTTTGTTTTTGTTATAAAAATTTTGTAAATAAGTGATTTTTCTCCTTCACTGATGTGTGCTAATGAGGCTACAGTGATGGGCACTGATAGACTGCACTGATTGGCACTGATAGGTGGCACTGGTAGGTGGCACTGATGGGCATTGACAGGCATCACTGATGGGCACTGAAAGACAGCACTCATATTTGGCACTGATAGGTGGCACTGGTAGGCGGCACTGACTGGCACTAATAGGCAGCACTGACTGGCACTGATAGGTGGCACTGTTAGGCAGCACTGATAGGCAGCACTGACGGGCATTGATAGGTGCCCTGATGATCAATGTACATGTCCCCTCTGAGTAGCTCGTGAGGAAAGAAATGGCGCTAATCGGCATTTCCTTATTTACATGCGATCAGCTGTGATTGGACACTGCTGATCACATGACAGAGCTATCGTCTTTGGCTCTTTCTGTTGATCGGTGATCTGCTGTGTTCCAGGGACACAGCGCATCACCAATCGCCGCGTCCTCCCAGAACGAGAGAACCGCCTTGCGCCCGTCATTTCCTTACAGCACTCATATATGGCACTGATAGGTGGCACTGGTAGGCGGCCCTGACTGGCACTGATAGGCAGCACTGACTGGCACTGTTAGGTGGCACTGTTAGCCAGCACTGTTAGGCAGCACTGACGGGCACTGATAGGTGGCACTGATGCACACTGATAGGCGGCACTGATTGGAACTGATAGACGGCACTGATTGACAGCACTGATAGGCGGCACTGACTGGCATTGATAGGTGGCAGTAAACGGCAGCTCAGGTGGGCACTGATATGTGGCATTGATGTGCACTGGTATGCACTGATATGTGGCATTGATGTGGCACTTATGGGCACTGACAGGTTGCATTGATGGGCACCGACAGGTGACACTGATCATCAGGGCACACTGATCATCAGTGCCCTGATGATCAGTGTACATGTCCCCTCTGAGTAGCGTGACAGCTCGTGAGGAGAGAAATGGCACGAACCGGCATTTCCTTATTTACATGCGATCAGCTGTGATTGGACACTGCTGATCACATGGCAGAGCCAATGTCTTTGGCTCTTTCTGTTGATCGGTGATCTGCTGTGTCCCAGGGACACAGCGCACCACCGATCGCTGCGTCCTCCCAGAACGAGAGAACCGCCTTGCGCCCGTCATTTCCTTACATGGCGATGGTTAAAGCACAACAGATGTAACTGACAAGGTGCTCTAAACAAAGCTAGATGACAGAGGTGAGTCAGAGAAATAAAGGCATAGTGTTATACAATTTTCAGGACTGAAGGGAACACCATGACATCTATAAGGTGTACTAACTGCATTTATACTGATGGCAGCTGTCCTAAAATGTTCACATTTGTCAGTAATCTGTACTTGCATAGCATCTGATTAAAGGGCTAGTGCCACATACAGAAGCCATACAGAAGCCAACAGGTGATAGCTAACAAGAATGTCAAAGTCTCCTAAACGTATGCTCAGGAGAGTAAACATTTAACGTAGAGACAAAATTAGGAACATTCTGTCTGGATCTCTGTGTGCTCCAACCATTATGTGTGGCAGAAAATATACAAAAAACAGTGTGTATTTTCACTGCCAGTGCCAACCAACCACTTTATGTTGTATTTTTGGCCAGCAACCATCAGTGTTTCAAAACAAAGATAGCATGTTTAAGCCACACAAAGCTACTATCATTTTGCATTCACAAAGTCATGACAAATGCCACTGTTTATCATTCATAATATGCTTAATGCAAGAATAACATTTATTAACTGACATTTTAGAAAAATATTTTACATTTCCTTACATTGATGTTCTTGTTGTGGCCTGAAAACCCCCAAGCAACCTGTGTTGAACATTTCTGGGTAACAAGCATCCGAGTATTAGAAAAAGCTATCCCACTTGATCCACACATACTTACTAAGTTTGTGTATACATCAACAAACAAAAGCATCTTTGTTACATTTCCCAACCCATTACTTATTAGTGAATAAATTGCATGCTGTATGTTAAGCATATTTTTTTTAACATCAATTAATAGTTTATGAAAGCACTGCCAGCATAGCTGTTTCTCTTGTCACACTCCCTTGAGTATTGGAGGTAAACTGTGATGTTGTTGTGTACTCAGAAGGTTTTGATTTGGAATTAAACTTTCTTTAACATCACTGTTGCTGTTGTGGCCTTGGAATTATCAATTGGCCTGCATTTCAATTTGTTTTGTTCAGAATGCACAACAAAGCCAATGTACAGGCGTACCTCGGTTTACGAACTCCTCGGTTAATGTAATTTTTAGCTTACGAATGAAAATCCACTGAAAATAATGCCTCGGTTTACAAATTTTTTCCGCAGTACAAACCAAGTCTCCCCAGGATGCATTGCGCCTGGGAGGTTTATAGCGCTGGCCCCGTGCCTTTAAATTGCATTTTTATAAAGAGTTTTGAACAGATAATACTTTTTTTTTTTTTACTTTTTTCTGACCTCCAGAAAGGATTAATTAGTATTCAATGCATTTACAATTTTTTTTTCGCAATACGAAGCAAGTTTCCCCAGGATGAATTGTGCCAGGGAGGTTTATAGTGCCAGCCCTGTGCATGCTGGAATCTGTGGGTAGCACGTGGTGTCAAGTGTGGAGGTGTTGGAGAGGTTTTGCATCGAGTTTTGGAGCCATTCTGGAAAATTTTAATCATGTCCCTGCACAGTATTTATGCCTTTAAAGTGCACTTTATAAAGAGTTTTGAACACATAAAAGACTTTATTTTACTTTTGTCTCACCTCCGGAACAGATTAATTGGTTTTCACTGCATTCCTATGGGAAACCGCATTCCGTTTTACTAATTTTTTGCAATATGAAATGTCCCGGAGAACGCATTAAATTCGTAAACCGAGATACGCCTGTATCTATTTAACACATACTAACTGTCACTTTTAAAAAACAGTGTTAACATAAAAACACTTTTACTTCAGGTTCATATGTGTTCAATTTAATCTCCCAATACAACACCCAAAAAATGAGTCCAACCAAGCAAAATAAAATGTAACTTGGTGAAGTCACTAAAACCCAGCAGCTTTTTTTCAGGACACCTTTCTAGATCCTGTGTTTAAGCTGAAAAAATGTGACCTGTGTCAAACAACAAGAAAACATTTTCCTGATGCTCCCACCAAAGAAATGTTTTAAATTCAATAAAAGCTTAAAGTTGTAAAGTATGTATAACAGATAAAAAAATACAGCATTTTTGATTGCAAATTATTGGATGTCATAAGTTAGCAAAGCTCCACCTCACCACCTCACTCTCTAAGGTTTGGGGCAAGTTCCCTTGCATATGCAACTTCCCTTGCATATTTGGACAGGCTGTTTGCCGTTAGAAAATTGACAACATAGTGTTTAATCGGGTGAATAGAAGGCATATTGGATTTTGAAACAGTGTTTTTAATTTGTACTGACATATCAAAAATAAGTCTTGGTGTTTACATTACATTTACCTACTCCTTATTAGAGTACATTTAATAGCAATTCAATCATTTTTAAATAGCTATTTAAGATTTTTTCTGCATATAACAATTATCTTTTTCATAAAATGGCAACCTATTTGAATACTGCAAATACTGCAAGCAATTACCTTGAAAAAAGATGGAATCTTAAGAATTGTTGATAAATTATACACAATATATTTATCTATTAAGTCCATAAAGATCAAATAAGAATGGACAACTCAAACCCTTTTCATTACTTGACTTTACCAAGCAAAGTTATCAGTGAACAATACTAATTAGAATGTCTGGAATAAACAAAGCATTGGACCAAAGGCACTAAAAAACCGTCGAACACCCTTATTTTATTAATCTAATGCATCATGTATAATATCATTACAGTTTCTTGTATATATCATTAATTTTATTCCTTTCATTTAAGTCTTTTATTGGGATTACTTCAGTTATTAGTTGGTCTAATGTATTGGTTACCTCTAAATCTCGCTTTGCAATCTCTTCTTATCTTGTTGCATAAACCCCTTGCATGTTATTCAAATTGCTTCATTTATTATGATAGCTTCCCCATGTAAATTGTGCTGACTGCTCGCCCTTGCACAGTCCTCATTAGACTAATGAAAACCTTCAAACGAAAAAAAACTAAACAACCTGCCAAATAAAGGTCTGAGGTTATTATGAAAATTACAACTCTGGGAGCTGGGAGAAGCTCTGTTCATTAATTCATGCTCAGCAAATTGCTAACTAATTTAGTTGCACTCCTCTGCATTAATGGATTATTTTATAAAAATGTTTTCCACAGCTCAAGACCTTTGGTGCATGCTTTTGAGAGGCTTGAATTCTAATCAACCTTAGCAGTACATTAGGAATGTAATATCTAAATAATAATTGGGATGGCATATGGAGGAAAATAGTGTTTAAAATCCCATGAAAGGTAGTTGTAGTTTTCAGCTTCATCTGTCATTTTCACAATAGTTAAAACAATTGTCGCTACTTTAATATTCTACCACTGTAACAGATGACACTCAGTATAATGACAATATTAAGAATAGAAGAGTTATCTTAAAAATAGCCAGGCTCGGGAAGGCTTAATGAAACTGTGCAGAGTGACATATGAAAGATACTGTGTAGTTTTCTGTTACTCATCTGCCTGGCAAACCAATGAGTAAAGATAGTGATTATTATTGGATTTAAAAAAATATACTGACTGTGTAAAAAAAAAACTATTCCAGAAAAGACAACTATATTTCAGAATCCCCTATATAACCCTATAACTCGGGTGTAGGGCACAGTAGCCTCGTCACCCCCCCCCCCCCCCCAACAAATACACACAATCACATGCAAGGAATCTTAAAAAAAATATTTCTGCTTGCACATGACTGGATAATGGAAGCCAGTACAGCTTCACCACATTCATTTATTCCCTTGCAAAGTGATCATTTCCCTGGCATATATTTTTCTTCTGGGCACAACTCAGCATCCATTGTTAATACACTGTTGATGTTGTTCAATAGCTTTCAGATGCAGCAAAAGAAGCTTTCATTTGACAGTTTGTTTGACCTTACCCAACAATTGAAAGTGAAGCAGCACCCCTTTCATTTCTCATTTAAACCTACCTGACTTTGTTTAGGGGTTTTATGAAAAATTCATCTAAATGCATGCCGTACCTCCAATTTCCATTTTTTTTTATTTTGTCTTCTGGTGACAACTAAGTGCTTTTTTAAGTAAAAAAAAAAACTTGCTAATTGTTTTCTTACACCTATGTATTCTATGAGGAAGTATTGTTCTTAGTTCTAATATGAAGTGATCCCTTTGTAGCCCGGGGGCTACATACTACTTCTTTTTAATATGGTTCAAACCAATCTTTCCACATCAAGTATAATTCCTACAGCAATCAAAAACTAAAATGTAACATTTTAAAACAAAATCAACCAATACTTTTGCAGGTAATAATATGTAGGTTAACATTGTTCAGACCAAATCCCCTTCATACCTTCCAAATTTTTCTAATTACTGCAGTGTGGCCATTTTGTTTTATTTGTTTTAAGAAGGGGTACAATTTAAATAAACTAACCTTTTTCCATATGTATCCTTTTTGCCTCATGCCCAGCTTCATGACCGGCAAGATCACCTTCTTTCGGACCCGGTATAATAT